ATCTGCAACTTACACATCTGACACTTGCATCCAGAATAGATAAGAACTCCTTGAATCATCAATAAAAAGATAAACAATTCAATTTTTTTAAATGGGCAGAAGACTTAGAATAGGCACTTCAAAAAAGAAGATACATGAATAGCCACTAACTATATAAAAGGGGGCTCAACATTAGTTATCTTAAAAATGAAAATTAAAACTAAAATGAAATACTATTTGACACCCGCCAGATTTTCTAAGCAACATACTTTTGATGAAGATGTGGAAAACTGGAACTCTCTTATATTGATAACCCATTGCTGTCGAGTGGATACCAACTAATAGCAACCCTATAGGACAGAGCAGAACTGCCCCATAGGGTTTCCAAGGCTGTAATCTTTACAGCAGCAGACTGCCACATCTTTCTGCTGAGGGGTGGCTGGTGGATTTGAACTGCTGACCTTTTGGTTAGCAGATGTATACAGTTAAGCACACACCTGCCCTCTTCCACTCCTAGGTATTTACCCAAGAGAAATAAAAATATATGTCCACAAAAATACCTGTACATGACAGGGCAGCCTTATTCATAATAGCTAAAAACTGGAAATAAATTTGCATCATCAGACAATGGAAAAACAAATAGTGGTATAATCCTACAATGGGATATTATTCAGCAATACAAGGGAACAAGTTAATAATCGAAGCAAGAACATGGACAAATCTCAAAAAAAATTACTTTGAGTAAAAGAAGCCAGGCACAAAAACAAAAACAAACAATAAACCAAAACTATATTTTCCATTTATAGGAAGCCTAAGAACATGCAAAAATAACCTATCTATGGTAATAGAAGTCAGAAAGTAGTTACTTGAGGTAGAATAGATGAAGGTAAAATGACTGGAAAGGGGCACAAGAGGACTTTCTGGCAGAGATGGAAATGTTTTATATTGTGTTTTGGGTGGTGGTTACATGAGTGTATACAATTATAAAAACTTACCAAACTGAGCATTTAAAATATATGCATTCTATTGTATGTAAATTTTACCTCAAGGAAAAAACATATAGGAAGAAGCACACACAAAATATGAATGAAAAAATCAACAAAGTAAAAAATGAGACTGAGAAAATATATGTAATATAGTAACAAAGGATTAATATCCAGAATATATAAACTCCTACAAATCAACAAGAAAAAGACAATCTGAAAGAAAAAAAATGAGAAAATACATGTAATATAGTAACAAAGGATTAATATCTAGAATATAAAAACTCCTACAAATCAACAAGACAAAGACAACCTGAAATAAAAAAAATAAGCAAAGTACATGAACAGGCAATTCACAGAAATGGAAAGAGAAGTGGCCAATAACGTGAAAAGGTGCTCAGTCTCACAATAATCAGGGAAATACAAGTCTTTAAAAATAATATGCAATATTCACCCATAAAATGGGTGAAAATAAAAAAAGTCAATAATATCCAATATTGTCAAACATATATTCTCATATATTGTGGGTGAAGTGTATAGTGGGATGGATATTTTACAGGATAATTTTAGCAGTATTTGAAATCTCAAATGTGCATACCCTTCAAACTAGCAATTCCTCTTCCAGGTATCTAACCTAGAGAACACTCTCATATGTATATCATGTACAAGGTTATACAATGAAGTATCATTTTTGTAACAGACATAAACTGGACAACCTAAATGTCAATCCAAATGCAAATAATTAAACAAACAAGGTATATTCTGTATACTATGGAATTCTATATGTTGTTGTTGTTAGGTGCTGTTGAGTAGGTTCCGACTCATAGCGACCCTGTAGAACAGAGAAGAACTGCCCCATAGGGTTTCCAAAGAGTGGCTGATGGATTCAAACCGCGGACCGTTTGGTTAGCAGCCGTAGGTCTTAACCACTGCACCACCAGGACACCATGGAATTCTATATAGCAATTTTTAAAATGGGGTAGATTTATATATATTGATACAAGATTTTAAAGATATATTAAGAGATAAAAGCAAGTTGAAAAACAATATGTGCAGTAAGATAGAATTTATCTTTAAAAACAATACAAAAAACCACCAATAAAAACATATATGTAGAGGAAAGGCGTTGAATGCTACCCACCAAGCAGGTGAAAGTGGTTACCTCTGGATTAGGATTGGGCTGTAAATCAAGGAGGAATTTATCTTCATCTGTATTGTTTATATTTTTATACTAGAAATGTATTCATGTATAACTTGTGTAATTAAAAGGAAATAAAATTAATTTAGTAGTGTCAAAATTTTAAAAGACATACAACAAAATTATACTACTATATGTTCATACACACATATGCCTATAAAAATACCTGGCGAAGATACACAGTAAACTGAATAACCACAGTTAAACAAGAGCCTGACCAAAAACTTAAAAGGAAGATCTAGGGAATGAGATGTCCACCAAAAACAGAACAGAACAAAACCAGTTGCCATTGAGTCAACTCCAACTCATGGCGATCCCATGCGTGTTAGGGTAGAACTGTGCTATGGTAGGATTTTCACTGGCTGAGTTTTTAAAAGATCACCAGGACTTTCTTCTGAGGTGTCTCTGGATAGATTTGAATTTCCAACCTTTTAGTTAGCAGCTGAGCTCGTTAACCGCTTGCATCACCCAGGGATGCCCACAGGAGACTTTAAAAAGCTCTGGTATATTCCTGGAGATCTAGAAAGTAGTGTGCATTTGCAGGGCTATGCACATGCCCAGGGAAGACCAGGAAAAACCTGATCAACCCTCATTCTTGTACCTCTGGCTGACTCTGAGGCCCTGTTCAAGTAGTAATTGAAGGCTAAAACAGATTTATAAAGTGCCTGAGCATTGAAGGCACGCCCCAACACATACACAGAACCCTAGCCAAATGGTGGAAGACTTACAGGTTCAAGGCATTTAAGGAAATCTGAGATCAACTATTAGCTAACAACTAAGCTAATTCAGCAGAGACCGGTGTGACTGCACACTACAGGGAATACAGACTTCACAAAATTAGTCTGGAAAAGTCACTAAACAAATAGCAATAACAAATGAGGTTTATCCCAGGAATGCAAGGTTAATTTAACATTAAAAAGTCAATTACTGTAATACATCATATCAGTAAAACAAAAATAGCATGGTCATTTCAACAGATGAGGAAAAAGTACCAAATTGTACACTTTAAAAAAAGTGAATTTTATGGTATGTGAATTATATTTTAATGTTTTTTAAAAAGTTAAACATAGAGTTAAACGATATGACCCAGCAATTCCACTGTTAGGTATATAGCCAAGAGAAATTAAATGATTTGTCCACACATAAACTTACACGTGGATATTCATACAGCAGTACTCATAATAGCCAAAAAGTGGACACAACTGATGAATGGAAAAACAAATGTGTTATATCTATACAATGGATACGTTACAACATGTATGAACCTTGAAAACCTTATGCTAAGTAAAAGAACTCAGTCACATATGACTGTGTGATTCCATTTATATGAAAAGTAGGTTAGTGGTTGCCTAGGGCTAGGGAAGGAGGTGGGAATGGGGAATGACTGCTAATTGCTATGAGGTTTCTTTTTGAGGTGATGAAATGCTCTAAAATTGATTGTGGTGATGGTTGCAGAACTCTGTGAATATACTAAAAGCCAATGAACTGTACACTCCAAATGGATGAATTTTATGGTATATGAATTATATCTCAATAAAGCTATTTAAAAAACTCAAAACTCAGAACTATATATCTAAAAAAAAAGATAAGATACAAGAATCTCTAAAAAGAGTATTAAGAAGGCTAAATCTCAGAGTGCCAACATAGGACAACAGAAAGGGCACTTTTAAATACATTCACAATAAAAAGCTGAATAAGACTCATGGACTCCACACTTTCTGGAGCCATGAAGGGAGATGAACCCCTGAAACTACTGCCCTGAGATAATCTTTAAACCTTAAAACAAAAATATCCCCTGAAGTCTTCTTAAAAACAAACAATAGTTTAGCTTATCTAGTAAAAAAGGTTTGTCTTGAACATTATGCTCTTTTAAGATCTAGCTATACAGGATCAAACTGACAACAGCAACTCGAAAGATTAGATAGGAACCTTAGGGGCAGTGAGTTTATGTTAATGAAGGAGGAACAACTTGGAAAAGGAGGGTGAGAATGGTTGCACAACTCAAAGAATGTAATCAATGTCACTAAATTGTACATGTAGAAACTGTTGAATTGGTGTTATGTTTTGCTGTGCATATTCTCACCAACAACAAAATAAATAAAATTTAGGAGAGAAAAAAGCTGAATGAGGAAGAAATAGGTTTCTGCCCTGTGCCAGGAGTATAAATAATGACAAAGACATAAAATTCCTCAGTTACTATCTTTGCTTCTGCCTTCTCAGTTCCCCAGAGGGAACTGAAGCCCAATATGAGTAAAGAGGTAGTAAGTGAGTACTCAACTACTTTAATAAGAGTCCAAATTTCAAATGAGACTGCTGAAGCTATGTTAATGATTTTTGAAGAATCATGAAGGAAGATGTTTCAGAAGACTGGGAGATGTAATTTCAATTTTCAAAACAGGGATAAGAGTTAATTCCATAAATGACAGACAGTGAGTTTGATATAAGTCTAGAATGGATTATTATAGGCATGGTTTGCAAGAACCAGAAACGGAAGAATGAGCACTAGAAGCCAGCTTGAATTCACTAAGAAAAACTCAATTTAGACTAATCCTCATTTCTCTTTTGGACTGTTACTAAGCTGATAGCTCTGAGAAATATGGCAAACATAGTATACCTGGACTGTAGCAAGGCATTTGACAAAACCTTTTATGAAATCCTTAAGAACAAAATTGAGAAATATGAGCTGGATGTTAATTATTGTTAGATATTGTTAATAATTGCTTAAAGGACCATTCCCAAAGCATGCAGATTACCAGATCACTATCATGCTAGATAAAGGTTTCTAATAGCATACACCACAGGGTTCTAGCCTTAGGAGCTTCATCGTTTACATCCAACAACTTGAAAGAAGATATATGGAAATCATGCTGATAAGGTTTATAAGTGACAACATCTGGGAGGGATAGTGAATACTTGAGATGACAGAATAAAGATACTGATTTTAATTATAAGTAGATGGGGGTAAAACAAAACAAAACAAAAACTAAAACTTGCCTGGACCAGACGAAATCAAACCAAGGGCCAGATCCAAATTTCATACCTGAATTAGAGAATGAGTGCAAGGGAAAGAAACAATTTTTCACTTTTCTGAAATCAGCCTCAAACTGGAATTGTAGCTACTGTTGGAATGTGATCTGAAATATTCCAGTCAAGACATTAGTAAGAGTATTAGAGGGTTTTATCTAAAACTGTGGCCTTAATTACTCTCTCACCCTCTTTTAGACGATCTCCTTCAGCCTTGGTTTTCTTCTGCCTTTCTGATCCAGCAAGGTCTACAAGATGCAGCTTGGAGCGAAAGCTGCTATTCCTGTGATAACGACAGACGACACAAGTGAGACTAGTAAACAAGCTTGAGAGTAGCTAAATATCAAAGCTGACTTGCTGGCTCTTGTTTTCTTTCAAGTCAGTCAATATGGTTCCATTGATCACTAGTGCTCACAGCAATAATTGTTAATGATTTGTCAAATAAGTTGAAGAGAAGCAGCCTAACATTCATCTTTAGCAGAACTAACATTAAAAATCTTGACTCTTTAAATTGTAACTTACTTGTCACTTTTCTTTCTTTGCTCTATGGAAATTGTAAAGATGGCATGAGATCGAGACGACTGGGAATTCATAGCTGTGGACGCCACAGTCCTACAGTTGTTGCCCTGCTCCAAACAGGAAACAGTATCCTGTGCAACTAAAACCATCTTCTCAGTGAGTCCCACAATCTAATTCAGAGAAAGAAAATTCCCGTATGATTCATGCTTCAAATACTTGATTAGAAATAGAGGGGTTGGTGATTTAAAACAAATAATGCCTTGGTGTTCCACTAGAATCTCAAGAAATAGAACAGATATGGAATGAGGACTGTTTTAACTAGTAACTCTATGTAGATCACTGGAAATCAAAGTCTCCAATCTTCCCTAAGGACTTCAGAAAGAAGGGCGGGCAGCCAATACTGGAGCTGGAAAAGATCTCTATATTTTAGGATAGCAATGGATAGGGGCTTCCAGGGAGCCCCGAGTGAAGGCAAACTTTGGCCTCAGGATACCAAGTGCAATACAAACAGCTATGGTATTTCTCTTTGCTACTTTCTCATCCATAGAATCTCTTCCTCCTCCCTGTACCACTGATCCATTTTATATCTCGTTTTCACTAGGGGAAATAGCATGGCAATTTCTACTGGATTGGGAAGCCAGGAGCACAGGGTCCTAGGCTTTGTACTGTACCTACCTGGGAAAGCTTGTACAAGTCAAAATCTCTTGGAGCCTCAAGGGATTGGGCTAGATGATTACAAAGTCCCTTCTAGCCCCAATATGCTATGATTTTATTGATCCATAAGTCCCAAACCTACATCAGTGGCCCTAATTTCTAGTCCTTTATTTCTAACCACATGCTACTTATACTTTGAAATCAGTAAATTATAAATCAAAATCATCTTCCTTCCACCAACACTAATTCTCACTAACACATTTCCATTTCTATTAATAATATCTCTATTCTCATATTCTCAAAACTTCAGATTCTCCTTCAACTTCTCCCATTCCTCCAGATCCCATCTATCACCAACTTCTAGTCACTCTTCTTTAAATGCGTTGCTTCGTTTTCCTGTCCACATCTACTTGCCTAGTTCAGATCCATACTACTTAATGCATGAAAAAACAAGGAAACAGTTTCCCCAATTGGTCTTCTTCAACCTACTCTTTCTCCTTTTGAATCCATTTCTGTTTAATCTTCCTAAAATTCTGCTTCCTAAAATATCACCAAACAACTAAGCCTAGTGCTATGTAATGAGGATACAAAGAGATGTTAAGATACTCTTCCAACCTCCAGGAGCTAACTTAGTTGGAGAAGTAGCACATATATATTAAAATAAAAACTTGATAAAGGTAGCCATGACTATCCTTCATTCAGAACTATTAAATAGCTTATATATTGTTCACAGGGATAGAAGCTAAACTCTTTAGCCTGGCTTAATAATCTGGTCCTAACATGTTGTTGCTGTTTTTAGGTGCCCTCGAGTTGGTTCTGACTCATAGAGACCCTATGCACAACGAAACAAAACACTGTCCAGTCGTATGCCATCCTCACAATCATTGCTACGTTTGAGCCCATTGTTACAACCACTCTGTCAGTCCATCTCACTGAGAGTCTTTTCCTTTTTTGCTGACCCTCTGCTTTACAAAGCATGATGTCCTTCTCCAGAGACTGTTCCTTCCTGATAACGTGTCCAAAGTACGTGAGATGAAGTCTCTCCATCCTCATGTCTGAGGAGCACTCTGGCTGTACTTCTTCTAAGACAGATTTGTTTGTTTTTCTGGCAGTCCATGGCATATTCAATATTCTTCACCAACACCATAATTCAAAGGCATTGAATCTTCTTCGGTCTTCCTTATTCATCATCCAGCTTTCACATGCATATGAGGCGATTGAAAACACCATAGCTTGGGTCAGGTGCACCTTAGTCCTGAGAGTGACATCTTTGCTTTTTAACACTTTAAAGAGGTCTTTTGCAGCAGATTTCCCAATGCGATACATCGTTTGATTTCTTTACTGCTGCTTCCATGGGCGTTGATTGTGGATCCAAATCCAAGTAAAATTAAATCCTTGACGACTTCAATCTTTTCTCCATTTATCATGATGTTGTTTATTGGTCCAGTTGTGAGGATTTTTGTTTTCTTTATGCTGAGGTGTAATCCACACTGAAGGCTGTAGTCTTTGATCTTCATCAGCAAATGCTTCAAGTCCTCTTCACTTACAGCAAGCAAGGTTGTGTCATCTCCATATCGCAGGTTTATTTGAGTCTTCCTCCAATCTTGATGCCCCGTTCTTCTTCATATAGTCCAGCTTCTCAGATTATTTGCTCAGCATACACTGAATAAGTATGGTGAAACCCTGACGCACACCTTTCCTGATTTTACACCACATAGTATCCAATTGTTCTGTCAGAATGACTGCCTCGTGGTCTACATACAGGTTCTGCATGAGCACAATTAAGTGTTCTGGAATTCCCATTCTTTGCAATGTTATCCATAATTTGTTATGATCCCACAGTCGAATGCCTTTGCATAGTCAATAAAACACAGGTAAACATCTTTCTGGTATTCTCTGCTTTCAGCCAAGATCCAGCTGACATCAGCAATGATAGCTCTCATTCCACATCTTCTTCTGAATCTGGCTTGAATTTCTGGCAATTTCTTGTCGATGTACTGCTGCAACTGTTTTTGAATGATCATCAGCAAAATTTTACTTGTGTGTGTGTTATTAACGATGTTGTTCGATGATTTCTGCATTCTGTTGGATAACCTTTCTTTGGAATGGGCACAAATATGGATCTCTTCTGCTCAGTTGGCCAGGTAGCTGTCTTCCAAATTTCTTGGAGTAGATAAGTGTGCACTTCCAGCATTTCATTTGTTTGTTGAAACATCTCAATTGGTATTCCGTCAATTCCTGGAGCCTTGTTTTTTGCCAATGCCTTCAGTGCAGCTTTACTCCATCTACGTCATTAAGGTTGAATATACTCTGAGGAGGCATTTCTTTCCCAGTCGTATTCTGAGTGCCTTTCAAGTTGAGGTGCTTATCTTCCAGCACTATATCAGACAATGTTCTGCTGCTATTCACAAGGTTTTCACTGGCCAGTTTTTTTAGAAGTAGATCACCAGGTCCTTTTTCCTAGTCTGTCTTAGTCTGGAAGCTCTGCTGAAATTTGTCCATCATGGATGACTGTCTAAGTTATCTAGTGGTGCTATAACAGAAATATCACATGTGGATGGCTTTAACAAACAGAGATTTATTCTCTCACAGTCTAGGAGGCTAGAAGTCCAAACTCAGAGTGCCAGCTCCAGGGGAAGGCCTTCTGTCTCTGTCAGCTCTGGGGGAACGTCCTCGTCATCAATCTTCCCCGGTCTAGGAGCTTCTCAGTGCAGGGACCCAAGGTCCAAAGGATGCGATATACTCCTGGCTCTCGTTTCTTGATGGTATGAGATCCACCTGTCTCTCTGCTTGCTTCTCTCTTTTATATCTCAAAAAAAAGATTGACTTAAGACAAAACCTAACCTTGTAAATTGAGTCCTGCCTCATTAACAACATAGAGGGAGGAATTATAACACATAGGAAAATTACATCAGATCACAAAATGGTGGACAATCACACAATACTGGGAATCATGGCCTAGCCAAGTTGATATATTTTGGGGGGACACAATTCAATCCATGACAGTGACCCTGCTGGTATCTGAAATACTGGTGGCATAGCTTTCAGCATCACAGCAACATGCAAGCCACCACAGTATGACAAACTGACAGATGAGTGGTAGGGTCCTAACATATCTCCTATTAATTCCCATCAAATCCTCTAATCCAGTCAGACTGGTCTAGTCTTATTATCCCCAGGAATATATTTTCTGCTTAAGTTATTCTAGAATAAACTTACTTGCTTTCTCTACTTGCTTAAATCCCATCCATCCCATCCACACAGTGTTTACAAACTGTCCTTACCCATTCCAATTTGAGTCAGAAACTCACACTTTTTTGTACTTGCTAATGCTTAGGAATTAACCCCTGCCTTAGCATGGGGTATAGAAAAATCTTAGAACAGGGTCAAGAGCTGGCTCAGTACTAATATTCTTCCTGGTGACAACATGCATTTTGTCCAGGTTGATTATCTGGGTTTCTGATTCCACTATCCAAACCATCTTCCTGTATTCCAAGCTTATCAGGCCTTCAAAATAGGTCTGATCCTTTAAACTTGCTTTAGCGCCCAGCTAACAATATAATGACCCAGAGAGAAACAACAAACTCAGAAGCACATGTGCCTGTCCTTTAGCTATACACCAACCCTTCAACTTTTTTTCTTCCTTTGGGCAGGAGAACAGGGGAAGGAGAGGAAGATAAGTAGGATATTATTTTATCAAGTTTTCCTAAATTTGTATTCATATTCTTACCTACTTCCAGGCTATGACTCTCCCATTCCTGAATACTCAAGCTGGTACTAGACCTAGGTTCTGCCGTTTTCAACACTGGCTTCTAGATTTGCCCCTTTCCCATATATGAAACTCCCAAGCTTGCCTCAAAATTTCTGTTCAGCTCCAGCTCCTCATCCTACATCTATACCATGTGACAGAAGCCTCTCAAATAAGTGATGTATTTCCTCTTAAGGCACTTATGAATTTAAAATTTTTATATTACTTAACTTTTCACTTTTTAAATATCATCCTATATTTAGCACAATGTTTATTACAGTGCTATCCAATATAATTTTCAGTGATCATGGATATGTTTTATATTTCCACCATCCAATATGGTAGCCAGTAGCCACATGTGGCTATTGAGTACTTGATATGCGCCTACTGCAACTGAGGAACTGAATTTCAAATTTTATTTAAGTTTAATTAATTTAAATTTAAAACACCACTTGTAGCTAACGGTCACTATATTGGACAGCTGAGCCTTAGAACTCTATAGATAATTAATAAATACTTCATTGATATTAGCATTCATTCAGAAGGTAACAGGATGTTGATAAAACTGAATATAAATACTTCCTTCCTTCCCCACAAGAAGCTCCCACCTAGAATTCTATAGTAATAAAGGGAATTAGGTCCGCACAAAATTGCGAGACTAAGATGTTAGTAGTTGTTTAAAAACATGGTGGCAAATAAAAGGGATGTGAACTTTAGTACTCTCCAACATTTTTTAATAACATCAAATGAGAGACAAACACACCTTTATGCCTTCTTTAGGGTCTTCCCGTATATTTATTTGAGAGGCTTTTTCACGAGATGGGCATAGAAGATCCAAGATTTCTTCATTGTAGATCTGGTATTGTTGAAAATAAAGAGGTAAAAACAAGATATTAACAGTGGTAATCACTGGGTGGTGGGATCATAGGTTATGTTTTTTTTAATTATTCTTTGTGACTTTCTGTATTTTCTAATTATTTTTTATAATGAACATGTATTATTTTTATAATTATGAAAGTGACTTTAATCTTACATGTAATCATTTGATATTCTACAAGAATGAATCCATGTTATTTGTAGCAAAATTGAGACTGCTCTCTTAAGACAAAGTCTCTTAGGAACAGCAGACACAAAGAAAAGTTACGTGGGTACCCAAATTCAGCTATTTGATGGCGTCATGACAGCGTCACTTTCACTGATTTTGTTAAAAAATGAATAATGGGTCCTTAATGAGGGGTGGAGGTGGGAAGCAAAAGGAAGAAGTCAAAAGGGAAAAGTGGCAACCGAGATTTCAACAGCATCCAGAACTTTTAAGTGCTTAGAACAGTGTTTAGCACATAGTAAACAGGATATTTGTTGGCTACTATTTCTGTTGCCATTATTTAACATACCAGATTCCTGAGTTATTTTTACATTCAATAACCTTGGCCACAACGAGTCAAGAGACTCAAGGAGGCTAATCTTTTCTTTTAATTGTGGTAAAATATGAAAGGCTAATCTTGATGATGTTTGCGGTGCAGTGAATTACTTAATACAGCCCTTCTAGTCATAGTCTTTGTAACTTCCACCAAATGACTGGGTGGGACTATGAAAATGAGGCACTTGTGGCCCACCGAGAGGATTGGATAGCTTGCTAATAATGTAAATAAGGTACATGGCACCCTTGTGGGGGTAGGACCTTGCAAATAAGGTATATCGAACCCTAACAAAGGGATTGGTGAGTTTTGCTAGGCTTAAAGGTTACTTTAATTCACCAGCTTACTGTCATAGTTTGGTTAGAAGAGACTTGGGCTAGGTACAGATCTCAAGTGTAATGATACACTACATTGATGATATTATGTTAATATCGAACACCAAAGAATAGGTTAGGGCTGATTTGAATACAGTGGTGGCCCACATGACCAATTGAGGCTGGTTAATAAATCCAGCAAAAATCCAGGGCCCTGCCCAAATGGTAAAATTCTTGGGAATAACTTGGCAAGGAGCCACCCGTGACATTCCGCAGGCAACAAAGAATATGTTGTTGTTGCTACCTACCCCTGAGACTAAGCCAGAGGCCCAACATTTGGTTGGTCTATTCAGATTTTGGAGAACACGTATTCCACACCTGGGAATATTGCTGGCTCCCATCCATAAAACCACTCAGAAGAAAACTGCATTCAAGTAGGGGCCAGACCAAGAGTAGGCTATGTCTGAATTGCAGAAAGCAGTCTCACTCTCCCTGCCTTTAAGCCCTTATGATCCACATTCGGGCATCATTTTTGAGGTGTCTGCCACACATGCTTATGCAGACTGGAGCTTCTGGCAAAAACCCGAGAACACCGCCCTGCAGCTACCGTTGGGATTCTGGACTAGAAAGTTTCCAGATGCTGCAGCACGATGCACACCACGTGAAAAGCAATTACTCGCCTGCTACTGGGCATTAAGACTGCCTTAATGACAGAGGGACATAAAATCATCATGAGACCTGAAATAGCCATAATGTCTTGGGTGATGTCAGAGAAACACTCTAATAAGGAAGGCAGTGCCCAAAATAGTTCCATAATATAATGGAAATGGTTCATACAAGAATAAGCTACTTGGGGAATACAGGAAGCACCCATTGTATCCATGAGCAGGTAGCCTCTTTTCCCATAGGTCGTACCCTAGAACCACCTGAGAAGCTGCCAGAGTCCACTGCTATATGGACAGTACCCTATGAACAACTCTCTGCTGACCGCAGAAGACTGTTTGGTTCACGGATGGCAGTTCCAGGGTACACGGACAATATTGGATGTGGAAAGCTGCTGCATTAAGCCCAGCAGATGAAAAGACCCTGATTGAAGGAGGTAAAAACAGACCAGCTCAATGGGGTGAACTGCATACTGTCTTCCTAGCCATAATGGAAGAAATGGGCAATGGTGAGAGTCCACATGTTTGGATTTTTACCAATTCATAGGCAGTTAACAACAGCCTGGCTATATGGTCAGGCAAATGGGTGATGGAAAATTGGAGTATTCAGGGGACACCTGTCTGGGGCACTCTGGGAATTTAGAGGGCGCATTAGAGTAGGACATGTCAATGCCCATCAGAAGAAAAACCCTTCCTGGATGGGAAGGCAATAGGAATCAGCAAGTGGACCTGTTGGTACGCTCACTTGAGGTAGCCAACTGGGTTCATAAAATGAGCAGACATGGGGGTGCTGCCGCAATGCAGAGATGGGCAGAATCTTGACACATCCCTCTTGCACCCTCTGAGGCACCAAATGCCAGTAAGGACTGCTCTGTCTGCCAACAAGAAAGACAGAGGTTGCAGATGGTTATGGGGCAGGTTCCCCGGAGCAAAGGTGTTGCACACAGCTGGGCCAGTGATGCCAGTGGCACCAGGTGACTACAAATGGGTCCTCACAGGAATAGATACTCTGGACTGGGCTTTGCATATCCTGTGAAAGATACAAATGCCAAAACACCATTAAAGGATTGCAACAAGATACTGTACCAATTTGGGCCACGGAGTTATATTTCATCAGACCAAGAACACACTTTATAGCCCATAGGGTGTGGCAATGGGCCAAGAAACATCATATTAAATGTAATACCACGTTGCATACTACAGTCAGAATAATGTTTTCATAGAGAATTGGTATGGGCAACTGAAACATTTATTACCTAAAATGGGGGGAGATAAAGGCATGAAGGGCTGGATCACACACCTTCATGAGTGTGTGCTCACACTCAATATGAGGGAGGTAAAGGGAGATCACCACTAGACAGATTCCTACGCTTCTCTGAGGGATCTGGGGAAGAGGGGGTGAGGGAGGATGCTTGTGCCCCTGTACAGTTCTTCCCCCTTATCACCTAAAATTGCTTTTTTCCTGCTGGATGCTGCGATCCCTGGACCAGCGATGCAGCTGCGGGTACTGGAAGCAGGGTTCGGCAGCAGAAGGCCCCCAGCAGGGCCCTGCGGCAGAGGGTGAGAAGCTGTCCTGATTGAGGAACTGCGTCCTGAGTTGTTCTTGTTACTTCCAGGTTGATCCCGATCCTGAGTTGTACCCCATTACTTCCCTAATAAACCACTTAACTGTAAGTTCGTGAGTTCTGTGAGACACTGCATCAAATTACCAAGTCCAAAGATGGGAGGGAGAGTACTGAGGGGAGGGGGAATAATTGATGTTAGAGATAATGGAGTAGTACAGCAGTTTGGAAAAGTTGGACATTTTGGACATCTTTAACCTCCACCTCATAGAAACCAGCTTTGTGCTGATCCTTATTCATTTAATGTTTAACTCCCCCTCTTCCAACTCTGGAGCCCTGGTGGCGCAGTGGTTAAGTGTTTGGCTGCTAACCAAAAGGTCAGCAGTTCGAATCCACCAGCCGCTCCTTGGAAACCCTATGGGTCAGTTCTACTCAGTTCTATAGGGTCACTATGAGTCGGAATCGATTCAACGGCAATGGGTTGGGTTCTTCCAACTCTATACCCTCTACCTCTTTAATATATTAAGATTTAACTTCAGGATGAAGTATTCAATTGCAAGCTTAAATTCCATCAGTCAATTGCCCCTTAAAGATTTTTTCTTATCACTGCTATGGAAACTAACCAGCCAGTTTCCCTGAAGCCATAAGTTCCCTAAACATGTGTTTTTGATGCCCAGAGATCAGATATAGCCAATCTGTATATTGATATACACTAGAATGTAAGCTCCCAGAAGGGCAGGAATTTTTATCTGTTTTGTTCACTGATATATCCCAAGTACCAGATATATCTAAATGCCTAAAACAGGGTTTGCCACACAGTTGTTGTTAGGTTCCAGGAAGTTGGTTCTGAGTCATAGTGACACTATGTACAACAGAACAAAACACTGCCTGGTCCTGCACCATCCTCACAATTGTTGCTAAGTTTGAGCCGACTGTTGCAGCCAGAGTCACAGTAGGTGCTCAATAAATATCTGTTGAATAAACATATCATATCACCCCTTACACGGCTCAATACTTCACCCAATTTTTATAATATTCTCAATGAAGCAGCAGCATTATTACTTAAGCCTCAAAACAGAAAAGAGAAATCAAATACTTTTCTGAAGACTCTACAGGGAATCAGTAATTGAGGCCAAATTGGAAGTAAAGAATTCCAATCATCTTTTTATATGGCAATGCCAACCTCACTATCAGATTAAAAAAACTATCCTTAGAAGCAAGGATGGCAAGACTATGTCTTACATACTTTGGACATGTTGTCAGAAGGGATCAGTCACTGGAGAAGGACATCATGCTTGGTAAAGCAGAGGGTCAGCAAAAAAGAGGAAGACCCTCAACGAGATGGACTGACACAGTGGCTGCAACAATGGGCTCACACATAACAATGACTGTGAGCATGGCGCAGGACCAAGCAGCATATCGTTCTGTGGTACATAGGTTCGCTATGAGTCAGAACTGACTCGACAGCACCTAACAACAACAACAACATTCTAATAAGGAAAGAACTGGTGGTAAGAGCCGGTAAGTTTTCTCTTATCCATTTAGTAAAATGTAATTTACTAAAACTGCATTTACTAATTTAAATCATGAAAGGGAAAAATCTCATTTGAGTTTTTTTTTTTTTCCACAAGGATAATTTTGAATTTAGAATAAAGATAAAACACTTACCTCCAAATAAGACACTTTCAGAGTAAATTCAAAGTCACTTTTTTTATCAACTTCTCTGAAAAGCAGTTGTATTACCCTAGGAATGACCCCAACTGTTGGTTCATTCTCTTGTGCAGCAGTGTATGCACCTCCCATTGAGTAGGTTTTCCCAGAGCCAGTCTGCCCATAGGCCAAGACAGTTGCATTGTATCCTAGCAAAACAGAAGTCACATAAATAGTGGTGTTCAAACATTTTCATCCAATCAATATACTTCATTTTCTTCAGCAATTACTTGTAACTAAATTGAGATTTGCTTTACTCAGCGTCTCTTAAGAATAGCAGACACAAAGAAAGGTTATGCGGATGCCATGACTTTACACTATTCAGAATAAGCAAAGAACAAAAATACTAACCCCAGAACGTGCCCTCTTTTTAATATATTTTTTATTTTTATAATTTTATATTTGCTGTTGTTGCTGAGAATATACACAGCAGAACATACACCAATTCAACAGTTTCTACATGTATAATTCAATGACATTGATTACCTTCTTCGAGTTGTGCAGCCATTCTCACCTTCTTTTTCTGAGTTGTTCCCCCACATTAACATAAAACTCACTGCCCCTTCAGATTCCTATCTAATCTTTCAATTTGCTGCTGCCAATTTGATTGCATATAGATAGTTCTTAAAAGAGCATAATGGTCAAGGCAGACCTTTTTTACTAGTTAAGCTAAAGTGTTGCTCAGTATTTAAGATGACTTCAGAAGACATTTTTCATTTAAGGTTTAAATATTATCTCAGGGCAATAGTTTCAGGGGTTCATCCTGTCTCCATGGCTCCAGAAAGTCTAGAGTCCATGAGAATATGAAATTCTGTTCTGCGTTTTCCACCTTTTGAAACCAGAGACATCAATATGTAAATGATGACTTCAAAACAAAAGAGTCATAGAATTTCCATATGGAGAGAAAGTTAAGGCAATATCAAAAAATATAAGATTGGAGGAGGCGAGGCCAAGATGGCAGAGTAGTCAGATGCTTCCAGTGGACCCTCTTACAACAAAGACTCAAAAAAAAAGTGAATTGATTATATACAGCAATCTGGGAGCCCTGAACATCAACGACAGAGTTGAGGAACCGGACTGAGTGGCAAGGGGAGGGAGAGATGGTTCGGAAGCAGCGAGGAGTTGCCAGACTTGACCCGGCAAGAGCCTGAGCCTTTCAGGCCTGGTCACCTCAGGGGTGAGCAGTGAGGAAAGCAAGCCACAGTGCTCGGAAGGTGCGTTTCCCGCACCGGAGGAGACCCAGTGCCAGAGACTCTACACGGCCACCCAGAGCCAGTGAGAAGCAGCCCTGGATCAGCGAAAGATAAGTAACTGCCTACCGCTCGGACCAAAAACACCCCCCTTAGGGAAAAACCTCTCTCCCATTTACCTCCCCGCTATCTGCTCTGCACTGGGTCCTGGACCGGCTTTAGCAATTGCCAAGTCCCCTGGTCTGGAAGTAGGATCCGTCACAGGCCCAGAACCATTCTCCCTGCCTTGGAGAGTAAACAAATTAACAAACAGAGGAAAAAATAAACTGCTAGCTCCCCTAAGCCAGGAACCCAGGATAGGCAAAGCTCCTTTGCCTAGGCACAGGCATAAGGCATCCACCGACTTTGAGTGCCTTTCCTGCATAGATTTGTGTGGGCCCATCTCAACAGCGAAGGCCCTCATTACTGCAGTACAACAGGCTATATACCTGAAGTCTAACTTCAACTGTTTCAGCTGTGAAGTGGTAGGTTCTTGACATTTGACACTGCTCTGCCCATTAAGCAGGGTCTTCACCTACCCACATCAGGGGCCTGAGGACTGGTGGCTCCACCCATGCCACCTAGCCACCTCTGAGAAGGGCCCATGAATAAGAGGTATCCCCCAGTCCTTACAGCCAACAGAATTAGGTGCTCATAGTCCAGCTGCAAAACCCACCCACCTTCATGCTGTAGGGAATAGGGACATGCCCTCCTCCTGGACACTCAAGGATGACCATCAGCCCCCTGACTTGCCCTGCTGCAGAGAGATGCCTGTGCCTACACCAATCACCCATGCCTGTCTAGGACTATAAGTGAGAGCCTACACCAAACACTTGGTGGCTATCTACCTGGACACCTGAGCTGAATCCATACAGGAGGAGTGGGTGAACTCC